GTATATGTATGTGTATCTGTATATTTTATATATATATATATATAGACACATAAAACACACAAACACTACATACTTACATACATATATATATATATATACATACATACATACGGATGCATAACCAATCCCTCACGATCGATACCGTTCGAACACTCACTGAGCAGCAAAGAGGTCGCACAACTTTTCGGTTCTCGACCTCAACGAGGGACAAGTCGAGCGATTCAAATCGAACAGATCCGCAAAGTGCGATCGCTTGCCCGAACATCCGCAAGCCGATCGGGGCACACGGTGCTGAGGGATCCAACATCCTTACATCGAGCCAATTCGCAGGCATGGAGCAGATGACGAACAATCCAACACTCACCCCGAAATTCTTTTGGCGATCGCCTGGGGCCAAAATGGCCACGGCAATCCCCCATCAGAGCGGCTCCATCGAACGAAGAGACTGATCCCTAAATCCCGACCAACCTAACAGCTGATTGAGGAATATGTATTATATGTGCGCGCAAACGTGGAGGGATTCATGTTTAACTCTGTTTAGCTGCTACGAGCTGAACCTTCTCGGAGCAGAGACGCCCGGGCGTTGGCTTTGGCACTTTTCATGCTGGCGTCGAGTCCGCCAGGGGATCCACCAAGCCCTGGCGCCGGGATCTGAACTGCGTCTAAGCACACCCAGTGCAGCAGCAACATATGCAGCGCGCGTGTTATATCTTTTCCTTTAAGTTGAGTGTACTCACCAGTTTTCAAAGGAGCTCGAGCAGTCTTATCGGACGGCTGGCCCATCCTCATCGGCCCCGTTGTTCGGTGCTGCCGAAGTTGCCGGCGGTATGTCTGGCACCTCACTGTCATGTACCAAGCTTGAACGAGCTTGGGAGAGGATACAAGGCACCTCCCGACTCTGAAGTGCGATGGGGTCAAAGAGCTGCTTCAACATTTCATCAAGATGTGCAGAACATGACGATTGACCTATAAGTCTACGCACCAGCCGAGATTGGCGAAGCATAAACCTACAGAGTGGAAGCTTTGGTCTGCGATACAGGTGCTCCAGAAAAACTGTTTCGTGAATGGGAGGAAATGTGGCATTAAATGGGACTGGTGGAGAGCCCAAGATGAAGGCTTGACTTTAGATTGGACTGGGAGTCGCTCGCTGAACCTGCAGCCCACAAGTCTTCCGACGGCTACGCATGGAGAAATTCACCCGCGCCTCGCACGTGTTGGCAAGGTTAGCCTGCGGGCAAAACAGTCCGAAAAAAGAGCTCCCCGCAGTGGCCTCTGCGTGACACATCTTGACACTGCCCGACATTGTGAGCGGCCTCCTCTGTCTGGCTTCCAGACTCCTTCGGTGTGCGTGGCTTCAGCTCGACGGGTGGAGGAGTTGTCGTCTCTCAGCACTCGTAGCGTGCCTCCTCTTCCGAACTCTCGGAAGTATCCTGCGTCTGACACTGTGCTTTTGTCTATGTGCCAGAGGCTAAGAGCTAACCTCACAAGCCACCAGCCGGTGGCGGCTTTGGCTTCCGCCGCTTGGGCCCAGGCCTGACCCTGCAGCTGCCGCAGCTTTGCCTCGCTGTCTAAGGCGCCAAACTTCAGGACGCACGCTGTAAAAGAGCTCCATGCCTTGAGCTCTTTGATCTTCTTGGCATTTAGCTCCTTCCTCTCTTGCAGCGCCTGCAACGTCAGTCTGCCATTGCACTCTACGACACATGTGCGTAGTAGATATCATAGGTAACATGTTACATGTGTATATATATATGTATACACACACATACATACATACATCACGTCTTTCACGTCTTTCGGGCGTCGTGTCCAGGTTGGCCGCGGCCCATCGGGCACCTAATTACAGTGAAAGAGAAGTCCGCACTCCGTGCAGTATGTACTCGCGGTCCTATTGAGAGCGCGGCACAGAAATCTGCATCGAGGGGACTGCACCGGAAAGATTGAGGGGAAGGATGTAACCAGCGCACAACGCTTTGCATGTGCCAAAAACTGTCCCCCCACTCGCATCAATAACCCAAGACAGCCTTGTAAGCATCCGAAACAGGGTAACGATCATTGCGAAACTCCGTGCACTACCACGAAAGCTCACAACGATTCTTAAGGAAACTACCGGGAACATGCGGCTCTTCTGATGCCCCTGCACCTGAAGTAGTCGTCGGTGCGATTTGACGATGATGAGGCTCCGCGGCACTGGCACCTGCTGGGCTGCAACTCTGCTGTGCTTCCCAATCAAGCAACAAGCACTCCAGGCGAGGAAAACCCAATGCTGAGCCATTGTTGCAAGCATGTCCATCACCGATCGTCTTGCCGGCCCGAACGCCGCGCTCAAGGAAGGAGGACTCCCAGCAGGCAGTGCCATGACCATGCAAAGTCTCACCACAACCTTCTAGGGACGAGCCATCGAACTTCGGCTGCAACGTATGACATCCTCGAGCGAAGTTGTACGCAGCATTACGCATCCCTGAAGTGACAAGCTCTGTCAGCTCTGTATGGAGAAGCCGCCGGCAGGTCCCTGTATAGACATCATCCGCGACCATAGGCCAAAGATCTACCATCATTCCGCGCGCTCCACCAGTCACCGGGAAAGAAGTTGTAAAGGCACCATCGTCGTCACCAACCGTCTGGGCCAAAGGCACTTGTCCATCGGGTTGGATGCCTCGCTCAAGGCAGAAAAGCTCCCAAAAGGATTGCCGATCTGGACATCGCCTTGATTGCCACAGGATTCGGCACTGTCGCCACAGTGGTCGTTCAGCGACTCGAAAAGGCACGTCCCCGGTCGTGTTTGTCCAAATCAACTGGAACCGGTTCCCAAACCGCAATTTTACGGATCTCTGCAAGACCCTGAGCTGGCAACGTCTTCACATCAAGACCGCCCGTCATTGACTCCACAGTCTGTTCAGCCAGCTGTCGGATCCGGCTTCGCATGGATATCAGATTGGTCCCTGTGCGTCGCTGCAGAAAGAGACGTAAAGCCTTGAGGGATACCGCCCCATGCTCAAACAGCACTGCCACAGCATGGTCCACAAGATCTTGAGTCAGCACCTGTATCGGCTCTCTAGCAGGCTCATCACGTACCCAATTCCCATGGCGGGCCATTGTTCGGGTACTGGGGGCTTCGCTATCCGCAGATGCGGTGTTCGAGCCCCTACATACATACATACATACATACATACATACATACATACATACATACATACATACATACAAGTAACATATGCATATGTGCAGCTCCATGTAAGTACAGTGTGCTTACGTGCATGTTATCTGCGTATGTCCGTCGGGTTGCATGCATTCATGCACGATCCAATTTCCAAAGCAGTTGCTGTGTTTGCTTCTGTGTTGCAGTCACAAGCAAGGAGTAAGGGACTTCCTGCTAACTTCCATTAACATCCAACAACCAACAAGAGAGCAGAGCATCTACATCTTCTTGTGAGTGGGACAAGCTGAGACACCTCCTCCGTTCTGTCCCAAATACACCGGATGTCGCTGGATCATACTAACAGCGGGTCGAACTCAGGTCGAACTCTTCAAGTTCAATTGAATTCAAACATTAGAAGCTGCTTTTCATCCAAATTGCATGGATGGATGGATGGATGGATGATGGATGGATGGATGGACGGAGGGAGGGAGGGGAGGGAGGGACAAATGACAACTAAATTAAAATTTAAACAACCGTACATACACATGTGTGCTTATTCTTCAATTTACATCTGCGCTGGTGGTATACCATACCGTACCATGTGTCATGTCAAGCGCCGACTGCAAGCTATCGCTAAGGCCGCCAACGATACTTGATTTCGACGTTTGGACAGATCTATACTAAGCTGTTTGACCGAAAGCTGTTAGAACCAGAACTGAACTTCATCCAGGCCTCGCTCGTCACAGCACTGAGCCCGACACCACGGAAACCGAGCCTTAGAGAAAGCTCGATGCCGACTGCCCACCCCAAGCACGCACCAAATTCTCCGCCAAGGGCGAGTTCGAAGCAGTGAGAAGGCAAGCAAGGCAAGCAATTGCACACGCGGATGATCAAAGATCACCTGCGCCTGCTCATGGCTCAGGCGGCTCAGGGAAGCTCTTTCAGTGGCAACAGCTGTATTGGCCAGGCCGAATTCGGCAAACGCCCTTCGGACGCCGACAGCAATTCTGCACACCAAATTTGTAGACCTGAACGTGAAGCTGCAGCTTGGATCCGCCAGAAACAAGGTCGTGAACATGGACATGAAGCCATGAAGCGATGCACAATGACGTGCACACGCAGATTTTCAGAGCACCACGCCTGAGGGCCGTTTTGTAAGCAGCATCCTTGCGCTCCAGAATCATAGAGCACCTTGCCACCGCAGCAACTGTACGAGGCCTCAGATTCAGGAATTCAAGGCACGCTGCCTCTACACGGAGACGGCTAGGCCGCCGCGGGTAGCCGGCCTTGGAGTAGACCCGGCCCTGGCAGCAGCCCTGGCTTTGGACTTTGAAGGCCACGCCGCTGCAGCAGCCCTTGCAAGCGAAGCAAAGCACACTGCAGCTTCCGCGAAGAAATTGGGAAAGCTGCAACAGCGTGCACACACAGACTGAGGGCAATTGAATGTTATCGGAGAAATCGGACGTCTGGCTTCTGTCACGACTGCCGACCTCCGCGACTCGATCGATCACTCGCCCTCCGCAACATGCTTTCCTTGGATCTGTTGCTGGGCAGTCGGACATGTGCAACATGCCCGTGACAAGAATGCTCGCTGCTCGCTCGGCTGAGTTGCACAGATGCATCGTAGATGTCCGCGCCGCAGCGCTGCCTCATGTTGGTGAAGGCTGCTGGTTTGTGCACTTCAAGCAGCCCGAGTGTGCCTTCGGCATTCGCCGCCATCTCTGTCAAAAATCTTGCAGGTCTCGCCGTCGAAAGCGGCGGCCTTTGTCGAACTGCAAAAGCTGTCCTGACAGCCAATGACACCAGATCCATCTGGCGAGCCTTCTTGTTGCAGGCCTCCAGGGCTTTTGCCTCGGCCTGCTCGATACTGCTCCTTGCCGCCACTATCAGACTACCAGCTTGTGGAATGTACCGAAACAGATCTTCGACACACAGCGCATTGTGCTTGCAGTGTTTGGGGCTACCTTGCAAAGGTCACTTCGAAGACGACTGACCAGTACAAGCGACTGTTGCACGGAGAGCCATCCAACTTTGCACGACTCCGTCATGGCCCAGGCCATGTGATGTCCTGCAGTCTCTGACCGACAGGGCCAGCCCACACTCTCCTTTAAAACCGGAACATGGCAGAGTCTCTGTCCCATGCTATTCTCATCAATACTTGGCCAGGATCACGCACTGCGAGAGTGGCACAGACATATAGATGTGTGTACAAATTGTTCGCACGCAGATGGAGGCTGACCGATGCACACGGTGGGTCTTTGCTCGAAGATTTATGAAATTCAAGCTTGCAATGTCTTGGAGAAGCGCTTAGGCCACGAGGATCTGGACTACTTTGATCTTCCCGGAGTCGTGTTTCCCCGGCCTGCAGCACAGTAGCGGCGCCAATAGTTGCCTGAGGTTCATGTGACTTGGTGAGATTGCGCTAGGGGTGTCCTGGATGGTTGAAGTGTGCAAGATCAGTCGTTTGCCTGGGTCTCCAGCTGTAGGTCTCTGGAGGCCAGTCAGCAGCGCAACTGAACTCTGAATTCTGCCCAGGAGGAGCCGAAGCTTCGGAGCAGATCCTCGGCGCAGTCTTGGCTTCTGCTTCTAGCATCCTGCAACACGATGGTGTGGCCCTGAAGACCCAGCTGTTTGCAGTATTGCCGCGCCGCTACCTTCCTTCTGCTAGGTAACATCCTCCCCGATGCTCTTTCGGACTCTCTCGCACTGATGTCCACATGAGCATCAGCTGATTCCTCGATCCACTAGATATCATGATATCCTGTGTCCCACAAACTCAGGTAAGTAAAGTCAGCAGAGAACAAGGCAGACCCCAAGGGCGCAGAATCAGAGCTTCCAGTAAAGATGTAGTATGGTGCAACGAGCAGCTGTCCCGGTTTGAATGGAGCCCAAGACGCCTGGAGAAGCCTACGACAAACCGAGGTATTCAATTCTGGCTGAGCAGGGCTTGAGCAGAAGCCGTCAGGAGCTGAACAAAACTCGAAAGAAATCTTGCAGAACAAAATCGGGCCCCCAGCATTCTGCAGTTGAATCATCCATCCCGGTCTTTTCAATTCTGCGAGAGCCAACGATGCCAATGAGGAGCCCCACCCACACCGCCAGATCCCACTACTCTCAGAGAATGCTCAAGCTTGCTTGAGGAGGCACCTGAAGACATTGGAGGGTCCAGGATTAGGATTCCACGCTCTGCTGCAGATCTTCACGTAGAGACCGTCAAAAGCGATATATTAGAGCAATACAGTGATCTTTAGCCTCCAAAGCCAAATTTTTATCCAAGGAACTCCTCGCCATAAGTAAAGACATGGTCATTGTTGCAACAGCCTGCAGCTGTGCCGACGTTCCACTTTCGTGCATGCCATCAAAAAGCATGCGGCCGGCCTTGTCGGGCAAAAGCATAGACGCTGCGATTTCCACAGCAGCCCTCGGACGTCAGAGAGTAGAGCGTCCCTGCACAGGGCCAAGGCCCACTGTGCGTGCCACAAACGCATGCGGTGTCCTTACCAAAAGTCTTCGCCCTTCCGCCTCCGCAGCAGCTCTGCTGCGACTTGTCGTAGCTCAAACCGTTGCAAGAAGCAAAGCTTGGTGGCCCGGTGACCACCTCCAGGAAGGCTTCCTGCACAAGGAGCCACAGAAAAAATGCAGCTCGTTCCCCGCACTAGAAGTCTTGTTCCTCGCGCCTCCAGTGCAGCAGCATCAGCATCTCCGCTGGCTGAAAACATCCTTGTTCCAACAACCAAAACCCAAAACGACACTGTACGCACAATTTTCGAAGGACTCCGAGCGATGGAAACACCACGGTCGCTCGATCTCGGGTTGAGGAGTTGCACACCTGCACATGATGGAGAGCGAGGCCACATGAGGCCACGTCTCTTGCGCAAGCGAGTCGCTGTTTGCTTCGACGCTGCAACATCGAGACTCCGCAATTGTCCTAGCAGGCAACGTTTCGGTGAGACGGAGCTGCAGCAAGGAGACTGCAAGGAGACTCTCGACCTGCCTCCAGGCCCGAAGCACACTCATCTCCCAGCAAATTGACATCCATGGACCTGCAGAGCTCCAACGATCCCAGAGCAGATGGAGCTCAACGGCCGCCTGCTGAGCGCCACTAGAAGAAAAACCCTCGCCATGGTTTTGCAAAGGCTGTCTCGGACTGCCGGTATCTGCCGGTGTGCGGTGTGAGGTGTTGCCCCTTGCGATGCTGAGGAACTGCGGAACTTGGTTTCGCATGTGCTACATTGCTACATGGACGACGTAAGTGATTCGAGCTCTGAACACTTTGAGTAGGCGAAAGAGGCTGCGGCGGGCTTTCCGCCATGATTCGTCATGTATCCAAGAGGTTCACAGCTTGTCAGGCAGCTGAGTAGGTTCTCGCCGTGGCAGGAGCATTGTATCTGCCTGGAGATTCATGATTAGGCCCACGGCAAGGAGGAGATGAAGAATCCAACTCCTCAGCATAGCCGCAGCATCAGATTGAATGTTGGGGGGAGGATTCGGCTTGAGCGACATGACGTTCGATTCATACGAAATTGTTCCCCGAATGAAGGTGGGCGAAAGCAGGTCTTGGGCTCTTTTACTGTCTCTCTCGAGTGGAAGAAATAATGTAGCAAGCCATATTAAGTTCCTCAGCTGCGAACAACATTCAACAAAATTTCCTGTATATACATATATACTCTGAAAGGAGCTGTCAGATCTTTAATGCGCTTTGAATTCCTTTGAATCAACTGTAGTCGTCAACAAAGCATGGCCTTCTCTCTGTTCCCGTCCTCCCCTGTGGTCCGAACGACGAGAACGAATCCCGCTGGCAGTGTCTCCCCACCCTGCCCTGAAGCCCGGAGCCCCTAGCAACCCCCATCTTCCAGCTTAGCCAGTACAGCTGTCGATGTGAGATTTCGCGGGACAGCTGGAGGCTCCTCTAAGCTCGGCCAACTGCGGAAAACATCCCTGCGCCCCCTCTTCCTTGCCAAGGATCTTCGGCGGACATCTGCTGGCAAAGAGCTGAGAATCCTGGAGAGCGACAGAGCTACCCGAGCTGCAAGATGCCAACTTCACAGAGAGAACACCCCAAAGTCACCGACCTGCGAAAGTCGGATGCCAGGCGTGCCTCAAACGGTGCAGTGCCCATCATAGCCTTCTAGCCTTCTACTTCGGTCGCAGGATCTGAAAATGAAAAGCCTGTGCAAGCGTCAAGCTTCGAAGGCTCCGTAAATTCGGCACGCACTGCCTCTACGCTTGCCGCTTTAGGCAGCTCAGCCTCAGCGCAGACGTTAAGCTTCGATGGTGAGTTTTACACTCGGACACAAGCATGGCACGAGGACTACACCACCGCTTTTCCAAGCAGTGCTCTTCGATACCGCGATTCCTCAACGGGGCTGGAACCGGCAACACTATCCTGTGAAGCATGGGCTGAAACTCTGCGAAAAGACGGCATGGAAGTGGACATGATTCACGATTTCCATTGCGGTGAGCCTTGCGAAACTTCAAATCACAGACCTGCAACACCGAAGCATAGTCCGAATCAGAAAATCAAATTCTCCCAGACCGACAGTCTGGATTGGAGGAGGGTGCGACTCGTTCACCACTCAAGGGAGAAGCGGAAACGCGTGGTCCTTGTAGATCGCGAACATCGGAAACCAAGCCTCACACCGTGATTGTCACAGTGCTGCTATCTGTGACGCGTTCTTTGGCTTCTGGGCAGGCAGCGTGTTGCTTCGATAGCTGCTCCTCCAAGTGCACCTTCAACGCCCGGTTCTCGCCTGGGAACTGGGTTGGAAAGGGAGTGGCCGACGCACTATCACATGGCATGTGGCTCCAGCCATTGTTACAGAAACACGTCTGAGAGCCAATCTGCGCGTACTCGTCAACTGCTGAACCAGCTCATTCTGGCGCTGATCGAACCTGACTTCTCGACACATCTACCAAGTCCATGACAGTCAGGAGAGCTTCAAAGCTGGGCGAGAAGCTTCGTGGTTAGTGTCTGGCGAAGCTTGTCCAGCTGCGCTGGGTGTTTTGCCTTTTCCATGCATTGGTGGGGCTGCGAGCAGATTCGCATGCCAGAGGCACCAGGGCGCCCGCCTTTGATTCAGTTGCTTCGTCACGCACCCGCTGCAGTTCTGCCTCAAGGACGTGTCAAGTGCCTTCGAAGTCCCGAGGCCCAAGCGAAAGTTTCGACATCGCTTCAGCTGCAGCTGGGGCTCCAGCCTCAGCCTTCGAGGTCTTGTCCTAGCTGCCGCTTGGCGGAGACGTTTCGTTGGAGTGGCTTAGCAGTTGCACGACGCTTTGCGGCACTGCGCTCTGTGTCCAAATCAATGCAACGAGACTCCGGTTTGGAAACAACTCCGTGCTGACAGAACCACCCTGGCTGCAGCGAATGTTGGGTTCATGCTCCGATGACCCGGCCCGCAAACATTGCCGCGAAATGCCTCCGACTTTCTGTTTCGATGCCACTGTCGGTCATCTTCTTTCAGAGGGAAAGACAATGCATGCCGCCGCGCCTCTGTCGCTCTCAGCCTACAGTTGGAATCTAAGGTTTGTCCTTCTGTCGCCGCAGCGCCTCTCGTGACTCGCCCAGGGCTTGCTCGAAAAGCTCAACCTGGGAGCCGCAACCCGCAATTTTGCGCACTGCACGAGAGCGCTCTCCTGTGAAGGCCCAGACGTAGGTTCGCCAGATCTTCTCGAGCACGACACCCCGCTCGAGGCAGTGCTGGGACACCTTTCGAGAGAAGACCGGCGACCGGCCCTCCTGTTCATGGTGGCGGCGGTGATGCCTGGCGAACAACTTCGTTGAGGCCGATGGAGAGGACGGGGACCAACTCCTGGACCTTGGGCCGAAGCAAAGGGAAGTCGGGCCGGACTGACACCGCTCATGGCGCCCTGCCATCTTCGTCAAGTCCTCTTCACAGATGTCCTGTCATGTCAGCTCTGACATTGCGATCACTCTTGCCCAAGTCAGCGAAATTTTAGACGATTCTCAGGGCCCTTGAGAAAGGGGCCTAGCAGACTCCAGACTGAGACTCCCCAAAGCAAAATCTAAAATCTCATGGGCCGATTTTTGTTTGCTTGCAAGTATGCATTGTCGCAGCCATCCAACTTTCGGATGTCGCGTTCGTTTGCGATCAATGATGCGAGGCCATTGGCAAATTCTGCGTCTGGTTTTGTGAGCCTTTTACTTAGGCCCATGACACTCTGCTTCCAGTGTCCCAGCCCACGAAAAAGGAGTCAAGAATTGCCATGAACTAAGCATCGGTGGCAAATTTGCTACCATCGGGTTTGGGGCCTCGTGCTGGCGGCTTGAGGAGCAAGAACAGGCTTTGAAGCACCAGAGCTATTTCCAACCGTGTAAACGAAGGAAGCACCTCAATCAGGAATGCTAGCCCCGTAAGTTACATACGACCAGCAGGACTCCTTGCAAATCTTGTAGGACGCTCACTACGACCATGGCACAAGCCTACAACACTACCGGTGCATTCCTACATCCACCACACCTAATGTTGCAAACACAACATCGGAGAAAACGGTCCTCGAGCTTTCTGGACTTTATCTGCGTGGTTCACAGTTAGACCTGACTTCTGCTTCGACCGGCAGTGCCACCTTCGAGTCCGCTTGCTTGCTCCGCTTGGCATAGGTCTGAAAGGACGAAGAGACCTGGGCTGACTCAAGTCACAACCTTTCGGATGCTGGAGCTGGCAGGCCCGAGGCTTGCACCCAGCGGGCCAAGACTTGTGCATCGGCGCGGCTGGTCGGCTTGTTGGCCTTTTGCTGACCAAGTAGATACCAAAACCAGATCAAGATGAATTTCACCACCTCTCCTTCTTACACAGTTGAGAGCATACGTTCGTCGCACATGCCACAGCCACAGAAAGCTTGTCTCAACATCGACAGGTTCAGCCATCGAGCACACTGTAGACTCTTGGTCTGGCACTGGGAAGAGAATCGCCTCCGGCATCACATCTGGCCAAGTGGATCTTGGCCGCCTAGAAAACAAGCCCAAACTCAAGACTCATACGATGATGTCAACAGGCCCCACGAAGACACCCTGACCCACAGCCATAGTTGTTCAGCAAAGCCTCTAAACCCTAGAAAAAGCCTCTAAGCCCCGGACTTGCGCCCTGACACTCTCCACTTCCAAGGGCCTGCACCCTCAAAGCAATCTAGTCCAGCACGATACTCTAAGTCCGATCGTCTTCGGGTTTCTGCCACTGCGAAGGATCGCATCGAAGGTTCCTCCAAGCGCCGCACCCTGCTGATTGGAGGTCTGAAGAGACATTATCCGGCTAAGAGTTTCCAAAATAATGCATGCCCCTCCCCCTTCCCAAAACCCGAATCTCCAAAAATTAAAGCGTTGTTCCTTCCAGTTTGAGATGCCCCAAGATCCTACCAAGGATACACTGCAGAAACCATAAGATCCCGGCCTCTAGTGCACAAAACACCAACCCATAAAAATGTAGACGATCCCCGCACCAAAGAAATAGAAAGGGCTGGATATGTAGCAATATTGTTGTCTCCTAATCTCAAAACTTCATAATTTTGTTCCAGGCTAACGGATGAAAGCATTCGAATACAGACCCGAAGCAGTAGATCCTCATTATGAAGACGCCGTTACGAGGACAATAGCTTCAAGAAACTCACACCTCAACCCTAGAAAAGAAAACATCAAGTAAGAAGGATGTGCTTCTTTGGCCCCACAACTCTGCAGGAAACTATACTAAGGGCGATCCTTTCAGGGGAGAGGTTTTGCGCGAATTTCGGGTCGCGGCGTGGCTCCAGGACTCAGGACTAAACCCCAAGCTTCCCTTACGGTGATCAGGAACAGAAATTAAAGTACCCCGTAGAAGTCCACAGCCTCGTGCCACTTCAGTGCTAGATCCCCGAAAAACCAAACACCTCATCCCCACAACTCCCCAGAAGCCCTAAAACAAACCCTGAAGATTTAAACCCCTTAACCAACACAGGCTGCCTGCCTAAACTCGCGCGCCGTCTGGCTTGCCAAAGGAGTATCACTGGCAGTCGAAGACACAAAAGTCGAAACCTTTGATGCCGCGAGGCCGAGAGATCGCCGCTCACTTCATTCAACTCACCGGGCCCCAAGCAGAGAGCATGCGCCGGTCCAGCATTCGCTGCAATGGCTGTC